CATAAAAAATTATCATAATAACACATTTTAACAGCAAAATAAAGTATTTAAAAATGCAGTTTATATTGCTTTAATTAGACTTTTTAGCTCGAATACTGTTCGTTATCTATGAAGAATTTTATAGGATATTTTCAGCTGAACACGATTAGTAAAATGATTTGTCCGGTCTCCCTGGTGTAGAATGACGCATGCTTTACAACACTAGCAAGCTACAAACATATATTTGCGAACTTCTTCAACGGCAGGAGAGTAAGATATAAAAGAAAATAATGAAAATTGTAATACAGGTAAAAACAAGGAGCATTGAAAAGAATATACATTAACAATACATATATAGCATTAAAAAGCTAGTGTTAAAATAATTGTAAATAAACACTGATGCAGCAAGATTATTTAAGGCCAAACAATTATGCACTGATGGGTCCTCAGCGGGGAGTTTTGCATCAAAGCGTACGTAACAGTACACCCTTTATTTATAGAATATGACGCAGACAATACCTGATGAAAACCTTTCGCAGACAGGTATTTTATTATAATTATTTTTTAACAATTTCAGATAAATAATATTTTAACCAAATGATTAATCATCGAAAAAGATATAAAGACCGTTACAGATGTTCCCGGTGAAGAAGCAGCAACGCTCCCCTAATCCCTAATTTACAGGTGTGCCTAATTGTAACAGGGACCCTGTAAGCTCCCCTAATCCCTTTTTGTGCCTAATTCCTGTTATTTTTTTAAAAATATGATCAGTATAGAAGGATTTCATCAAAAAATTATAAAAGTACAAAGATATCAACTACGCATTGTACAGGCACGCACGTGCATGCACATGCAAGATGATCATGGCATGTTGTCCAAAAATTAACATTATATCTATGTTTATGAGAATCAATAATTTTAAAAAATCTTTACTATATACATTTTACTGTTTTTCAAATATATTGGTCATTTTGCGTATTTCGCGCGCGCACGTGCATGCATGCATGTTCGTGCATTTAATTTTGATAGTATCATAATGTAGAAAACCATTATACCTATTCATATTCTAAATTTTATTCCGTTTTGTTGAAAACTAAAATAAGTTATAGGCATTTAAAGTTTCAGCCAATCAGATTGCAGCACACATGCACGCGCGCATGCTTTTCATCATAATTCTTATATATTATGCTGTACTTCTTCATAATGTATAACCATGTTGAAAATTTCAAAGTATTCGGTCGAGAAAACAAGAAAGATATTGAGACTTAAGTTTCAGCAAATCAGAGAGAAGCGCACGTGCATGCGCGTGAGATGTTGCTATTTTGACCATGTCCTCTTGTCTATGCTTCAAATATATCCTTATATTATTATGAGTTTTAAAGCATTTCATCAAAAATTGAAAAAGTAACATTTATATCAATCATATTGGACATTTCTCGTGTTGCACGTGCGCGCTCTTGCAAGCACACGTGCATCCGCGTGCTTTCATAATAATTCTTATATATCATGCTGTAGATCTCCCTTATATATGACTATATTCAAATACCAAAAAACAAAAAAGAAATTGAAGGTTTTTTTTTAAAAAACCGAGTGAAAAAGCTTATTATGTCGGCCGCTAAATTAGATAATGGAGTCAACGCATCAATTTATTGCCTTGTAATGGCATCCCTAGTAGAAGATACAAGTATCTCCGGTTGGGGTTATAGACGCAGAATAAAACGAGGGACTTCAGAATGAAATACTATATTCGGATATGAGCTAAATCAACAACATTAAAACTTACGACTTTTCACTTTTATATACAATTATTCCCATCTATAAATTAAAGTCCATGTTTACTGACATCATTGACAGTTGCTTTTTTTTTAAATAAAATGGAATTTGTTAATTTACTTAACTTGTCATTGGTCATTAGCAAAATTACTTTGTTAATAACATTCAGACTATACGCACAAGTACTCTTATGTCGATGTCTAAAAGATACCCGAGTTTCTGATTGACAATATCTATGTGGTTTTTGGAGACCAGGGGCTCGTTTCATCAAAAGTCGTAAATTTAAGCCTTAACTTAGACGTACTCCCGGGGCTTACGCCAAAATTTAGTCGGGCGTTGCGTTTCACCAAGTGGCGTAAGTCTAGTCGTAAAAGATACGCTTAGTCACAGGACTAAGTCATTGACAACGTTGCATTGCGCAGGCGCAAAAACATAAACATTGCCCAATGCGTACAAACATAAATAAATTGTAGCACGTCAAAGTACAGAATAACACAGATTATTATGGAAAGCAACAGGAGACCCCCAAGTCATGTTCTATATATTCACAGTAATTCAATCTTGGGCTGTCATGTTTACAATCCCGGCCAAGTCATGATCGGCCACACGGGACTCCCAAGTCATGTTCTATATATTCATAGTAATTTAATCTTGTGTGGTCATGTTCTATATATTCATAGTAATTCAATCTTTGGCGGTCATGTTCTATATATTCATAGTAATTCAATCTTGTGCGGTCATGTTCTATATATTCATAGTAATTCAATCTTGGGCGGTCATGTTCTATATATTCATAGTAATTCAATCTTGGGCAGTCGTGTTTACAATCCCGGCAATCAAGTCTATATATTCTTGTAATTCAATCTTCGGCCACACGGGACCCCCAAGTCATGTTCTATATATTCATAGTAATTCAATCGGTCATGTTATGATTGCATCTCTGACCAAGTCAGGTTTGGTTTGATAGCATAACATGGCCTTCTTATCTTTGCCGGTCATGATTTGACAACCCTGGCCTAGTCAAGATATATCCCATGTTTTACATCTTGACTAGGCCATGATTTTCTATCCCAAGATTGCATTGGCCAAGATACATTACTTCCAAACGCAGTCAAGATTTCTTCAAGCGTCAGTCCTGGCCAAGTCAGGATGCAATGTCAAGCGTCAATCTTTGCTTAGTCATGATGTGTTTTTCAAACGCAGGCAAGATTTATGGTCATGATTGCATTGCGCCAGGATGTATGACTTCTCAAGATTGCAAATGCAATGCGCTTCCCTAACAACGAAAACCCGCTAAAAATGTGTATTGGATTTGCTCCTCAGCTGACAGTGACAAATAGGCCTAACGTAAGTACAGGTGAATTTTTCCTTGTAAATCTATATGAATATCTTACTTTGTTGTTCTAATTATGTAGTTTATGCAGTATCTATTTTAAATAAGTGATATGAACAGTATTTCAAATAATCGAAAATATTCTGCAGTTTTCATCGAGGAAATTCGAAATTGTGTATCGACAAATTAGTAATTCTGTGAAATTATGAACATAAACAAATAATGTTTCGTATGATCCGTTAAGAATCAAGTTGTTTACAATATACTTTCATAAGAATATATTCAAGTGCAAATTATAGAACTATTTTAAGATTGGTTATCGATCTACAGGTAGGTATTCTTTCATGTCTTGTAATTAATTCTTTTGTATTATTTGCAGATAATTTACATGACTAATTCATCCATATTAAAAGATTATAAATGTAACTATTTATAGTATCTCAGATTGACATATGCTGACTGGAGTCTATGGCTATGGGAACCATTTCGCAGTAATTAAGAATGTGCAGGAGAAAGTGGTACACTTCATTTCAATCGCATCTTTCGACAAGCGGAAATCCATGGTCTACCTGGAATAAGTTTATTTGGCACCAAGACAACCTTTCTCCAAGGTCAAAGATCAAAGGCCAGAAGTGATGTCAGCTGCAACAATGGCACTATGTAACAATGATTCTGTGAAAGTTTCATTAAATTTCATTCAGTGGTATAGGAGGAGTTACCGATAAGAGATGGGTACCCAAGGACAGACATCCCGATCAATACATACCCTCCGGCTTTTCAAGTTAAAAATTAATTTAATTTAAATAAAAAAATGATTTAGAACCAAATGTTCACAAAAAAGAGAAAATAAAAATAAAAACAAAGCTAATAGAATATAAAAAAGCCCAAATCTAGATAGCAACAGCATTCCAAGAGAAACAATCAACCTAACACAACCAACAACAAAGACAACCGACCCAACGTCGCTAAAACAATAGTTGTTAGTAAAATCACTACGAAAAATCGCAATATTCTGTCATCATTGAGATAAATTCAATTCTCCACAGTTTACAATTACACAAAATTTCAAAGGAAATTGAGATAAAAAAAAATCATTACATGTCTTTTGATGTCATAACTTGAATTTTTAAACGTTTTATGATTTCCTTTATTCAACTTATGTAGAGGGTTTACTAATGAAATGACAATGGTTTTGCGTAAAAGGACAAAATCATGAATCAGTTGGATATTATATTCTTAAGTTTTCACTCCAACCTGTCTTTCACAGACTTTTACTCGACCCTGCGTTTTCCAAGGAGGTCCAAGGTAACTTTTATTTCTTGCTTTAGTATATGAATTTATAACCTTGCAAATTCTAGGCAGAGGGGGGGGGGGGGGGGGGCTGACCACCCAAACCTCCAGACTTTTTTTTTAGATCCGCGCATGGTGTATTCAATATTTGCTTATATGTTCATTGTATCGAACATAGAACTTGCAAATGGTGACTTTTAACAGTCCTTGTTTTCTTCATCAATGAGAAAGTATCTATGAGCCCGACCCTGTACCATATTATGTGATATTCCATGTCTCCCATATACAGATGGAATAGTCGAGTACGAGAAAAACTCTTTTAGGAAAAAGCGTTTCAAATATGTTGAAACCAGCGTGTTTAAGATAAAGGATTTTTGATTTCATAAAATGCAGCTTCACTGCATACACATTGAAACAAAACTTTATTTGATATAAAAGGATGGAATATGCAATAAATTAACTGAAACGTGACTTACCGTCTACTGAAAATTGACATAATGGCAGAAGATAGTGATTTCTATCACATTCATAATTGCTATTGCTATTAATAAATAAGCGTTGATTGGTGAATGAGACTAAACCAACAGTATATCATGTTCCTTTGTAGTATATAAGGCCTTAAACTCAATAATTAATTTATCTGCAGTCTTAAAATCAGTTGAATAATATGGATAAGCTCTTGTTCTTGGTTGTAATGACCATACTCTTCCATGTGGCCCTGACGACCGGTAGGTTTACTTTATTCGTTATACCCTCTATCTCTTTCCTTTGATCATAATTAAATGTTTCTTTTCATAATAATATTTGAGTTGCTATGGCAATTCCATTCAACGACTGAAAAAGAATTTAAATGCAATTTAATATATCATTGCGTATAAATATATGCTATTAGTTTTTTTTATCAGAGATGATAAAGTTGACCGTTTCATTTTTTTTTTTACGGTTATTCATATATACTATGAGCGAAGAAAATATATTGAAATATATTGAAATATCAGCTGTATCAGTGATAAAGAGTTAAAAAAAAAATTACAGGGTAATGAAATAAAGTAATTTTTTTTACCTGTTAATTTATTTAATTATTTTCTTAACCATCTCTCTTTCTCTCTTGCTCTCTCTCTCTCTGTCATTCTCTCTCTTTTCTCTCTCTCTCTCTCTCTCTCTCAATGTTTTGTCCTTTTTGTAAAAAAAGTTTTTTTCAAAATGCAAGTAATTTTTTTAAAAGAAGAAAAAAAATTTCACCTGTTACAGATTTTGGATATGATGAATTCGGAAACGTAGCATACGATATCACAAGAGGAGGTCACGGGGGAGAATATGAAGAATTGAAAAGAGGATCAGGAGGATTTACAAGCTTTGGAAAATGGACTGGAGGATTCGGAGGTGGAAGATTGATAAGAGGAAGAGGAGGAAGATAATATGGAGGATCAGGAAGATTTGGGTGATTCGGAGGACTACGATACAAGAAGCACTAAAAACGAAACTTGCATTCATTTATGTTCGATCAAATTGTACTCGATTGTTTGTTGTCAAACGCAGACATATCTATATTTCAGCCAAATTTAAACGGAAAATTGTATTTGAAAAATTTGTAATAAAATCTTGGATTTAACATCAGCTTTGTTTTGATATAAAATAAATTCATTATATTATGTGCATAAATGGATAAATGATCTAATTCCAATACAGTTATCTACTATATGTACCAAAGCGGGTTTTGACTTCTGGAAATTCTTGAATTGCTACTTTTTGCGAAAGCTTTCAACGGAAAGCTTTTCCTCTCGCCTCTTACCAATTAATCCAATTTCTGTACCTTGTCAAATAAATTTACTTATTTTTATAGAGGAAAATAAAACAAACATGAATTTAAACCCGTTTATTTGATATTGGCGATTGTTGGTCGTGGTGTATGTAAAAAGTAAAAAGGGGTCACCAAGCGTAAAAGGCGATCCCAAATAATATAACAACAAGCAGCAGCAGCAAACAACATGAAAGCACAATAGTATAGAACTCATAATAAACATAATAATGGTAAACACGACTGCCCAAGATTGAATTACTATGAATATATAGAACATGACCGCCCAAGATTGAATTACTATGAATATATAGAACATGACCGCCCAAGATTGAATTACTATGAATATATAGAACATGACTTGGGAGTCCTGTGTGGCCGATCATGATTTGGCCGGGATTGTAAACATGACCGCCCAAGATTGAATTACTATGAATATATAGAACATGACTTGGGGGTCCCTTGTGGCTTTCCATAGATTATGGGTAAATTACAGAATAACACAGATTATAGATAAATTGATACTTGCACTAATTGAAACATGCATGGGTTTATATATTGTCATATGGAAGACATGTATCTGATGAGAAACCAAGTTTAGTTTTTAACAACATTTCAATAATAAAAGTAATAAATTGAAAGGAGGGAAAGGACCATACATGTACATGAATTTCGGAATTAACCAAAACTATTTATTTTGGAAATTTGATTACAGCAACTCCCCCATCTTCCCGAAATTGATACAGGTTAAGGACTTCGCCTTTGATAATAAATTTCTTGATTCGATAAATACTGATTATACTGATAAATACTAATAATTAAGTTTGAGACAGAATAAGATTTAAATTTTTTTATAAGAAATGTAGATCTATATGCAAGCAAAAATAATGAATACAAAATGCAAACGGTTTACATATGTACACATTTTGAGTCAAGAAATAATTTTACACGTTTACTACTAAGGTACATGTAAGATAACCTTCTCTAAATTTATTAAATTTTTGTCAATTCAAATGATTCATTATAATATTGTTAATGTTTATTAAAATGACATAAAGGTTCTTAATATAATTACAAAATATTAGACCCTAGGTCGTGCAGTTATAGAAAAAAATTCTTTACTATCTGCAGATTAAATGTAATGTATCGTTTTAAAAGTACGCAGAGAGAGAGAGAGAGAGAGAGAGAGAGAGAGAGAGAGAGAGAGAGAGAGAGAGAGAGAGAGAGAGATGACTACGAAAATATTCTTACAAAAATTCTCTGCTTCTGTGGTCTCTGTCTTTAAAATTAAGTTACAGCTACTCTTTATTTTGTATTCATTAAAAAATAAGTTATGCAGGAAATCAAAAACATGTATATTTTCATCTTATATGTGCTTTATATGCGCTCAGATTATCTTATACTACGTATAAGATTTACACTTTTAAACAAAATCATGAAAATTAAAGATGCCTATATTGCATCAATGTTTGTCTGAGAGAAAAAAAATTAGGAATTATTCATTCTTGAACTTAAATGTGTAATTATCACCGTCTTACATTGATATTATAAAAGCAATAATATATTTCCCCATATCAAAAATCTCTTATTGTTTATGAGACCCCACTCCCCTTCCTGGGTTCCGTCTTAGATTCGCTGGGAACTTCACTTGTCCAAGATACCTAGAAAAATAATTACTTTCGTTCTTAACTAAGTACTCTGTACATTCAATTTAATTAATCTGCAAATTCGGGAGGTTCTGAACCCTTTCTCCAACCCCCTCTAGATCCACGCATGTGGACGAGAAGTAAATAAGAAATGGACTCTTCAATCATGACAAAAAACTATTTGGTTTTAAGATGGGTTATTTTTTTGAATTTTTTCTTAAATGTAGAACATTACCAGAAAGAGGATTACTATGCTTTTGAAACCGATTTGGTTTTTTGTTTTTGTTTTTTGTAATTTTTGTTTTTGGGAAAATGTTTTTGGGAAAATATTTTCTTTCAAAATAGACAATTTTAATGGGTCTCGTTTTAGTGAATGAAACAGAAACTAGAGTTACCGTAAGCAATGAGTTCAATAAAAGATACCCCCCTCTCCCCCGCCTCCCATTGAAATATAGTGGCAGTGTCCATGTTTTCCTTTGGGAAACCCAAAATATGTGTCGGATCAAAAAGTACATTAAGACACAATGGCAATATGTAATAAAGATTCTGTGAAAATTTCATCAAATTTCAATCAGTGGTATGTGAGGAGTTGCGGATAGAGATGGGTACCCCCAAAGCGTAACAGACGGACGGACGGACATCCCAATTAATATATAGTATATACATGTACCCTCCCGCTTTTCAAGCGGGGTGTAGAAATATAATTATATATGTATATTGATTTACAATACCTTATACATACAATACTACAATCAAATGTGTGTGAATACATTGTCAAAACGTAAGAAATGGTGATCAATGAAATCTCTAATAAGACAAGCTTTTCTTCTCAGCAGAAATTTATTAAAATATTAAGTACGTTATTACTCAAATCAACTATGTCCCCAAGTAGTTGTAACAACACCCCCTCCATCCCCTCCCCCACTCACTCTTCATAACATATATAATTAAAAATGCATTGTTTGTATTTTAAATTCTTCTTAGAACCGTACTTTTTCTCGCTAAATTGTTTAAATTAATAAAAAGGCTTTATTTTAACTTTACGCCCTAAATTACGCCTACCCATGAGTAGACGTAAAATTTTGGTCTAAATTTAGTCAGGCGTAACGATACGCTCTTTAATGAAATGCGAATCTTCGTGCTAGTCCCGACTTTACGCTGGCGTAGCACTAATACTGGGCGTACGACATTTGATGAAACGGGCCCCAGGTCTTCCGCAGAAGGATAAAACGTACGCTCAACTAGGACCTAATGCCCCCCGCTCAGTTCACGACTATCGGGTTTACTCCGCTACAAAATGTAGTGAGTTGCATATGTAAAGTGAAAATAGAATAAATCGTAAAACTGTGAAGCCTTTACAGTGTTAAAAAACAGAAAATTTATTTTTGTCAAAGGAATAACCATCTAATGGGTATTAGAAAAGATAGAGGGGGTTTTGGGGGAGGGGGGAGGTTCCTGAGTAACATTATATAACTGCAATATTATAAGACATATGATATATAAGAGTTTAAGTTAATGGGTTATGTTGGGTGACCTGTGGTCTCCCCTATGATTTTATTATTCCATGTAAGGTTATAGTATCTATATAATACAGTGCCTAACCTCTGATCTCCTTACTAATAGTAAACGACGATCTCTAACAAGCAGGGGGAAGAGGAATATCTTGCCCCCTGCCACCCCTACCTCTTCAGTTCGCTAGGACTTATCACCGATCCTTTAACATAATGGAATAATTATTTGTTAATAAATTATTTAATGTCTCTTTTGTCTCCCTTATGCGACCTCATCACTTTAACACTTTTTATTCAACCCCTGATTTTATTTATCGTACAAAGAAGATGTACCTCCTGTATTGCGAAGTTTGGGGCTGCATGGAGTTCTCCTCCCCTTTCCCTGGAATTAACACATCAAATTCAGAAACCAATCAAAACTACATTTTAAAAAAAGAAATAACACTTTTAAAAAAATGCACCAATTGTTATTTACTTTTGGGATACATATACGGTATTTGAAGACAAGCAAGTTGACCAATCCTCCAAATTCCAATTACATACATTTAGAGTATTCGGAGAAACTGTGCACTTTTTTTCCCTGTCCAAAAATTAGAATCGCAATTTTTTTGAGAGGATTTGATAAATAATTCTACATATACCATGATTTTAAATCATTGCCTATTTACGAATTTCAGTCACATCGTAATAATGTACAACATAAGGGTTACCTTTGCCTCATTCATATACTACAACTTGTGAAGTATGAAATCCTTATTGATATACAAAATAAAACTTCCACTTGTTCCCATAATCTTTATGCGGATACCAGAAGAAACAAAAATTTAACAAGTACAGAGGTAACTTCAAATTGTACATCTTCAGGGCGACCATAGGTCAACTTACATCAAAAGGGAGACCAGATGTCATCTTCTGTTCTACATCATATGGGGGATCGGAGGCCACCTTATATTGTACATCAGTAGGGGTACCAGAGGACACTATTATTGTACATAAGTACAGGGAATGAAGGTCACCTTATATTGTACATCAGTAGGGGACATCAGTAGGTGAACCAGAGATCACCTTATATGGTACATAAGTAGGGGGACCAGAGGTCACCTTATATTGTACATCAGAAGGGGGACCAGAGATCATCTTATATTGTACATCAGTAGAGGGACCAGAGGTCACCTTATATTGTACATCAGTAGGGGGACTAGTAGGCACCTTATATTGTACATCAGTAGGGGGACTAGTGGGCACCTTATATTGTATATCAGTAGGGGGATCAGAGGTCGCCTAATATTGTACATCAGTTTGGGGACCAGAGAACACCTTATATTGTACATCAGTAGGGGGACCACAGATCATCTTATATTGTACATCAGTAGAGGGACCAGAGGTCACCTTATATTGTACATCAGTAGGGGGACTAGTAGGCACCTTATACTGTACATCAGTAGGTGGACCAGAGGACACCTTATATTGTACATCAGCAGGGGGATCAGAGGTCGCCTAATATTGTACATCAGTATGGGGACCAGAGGACACCTTATATTGTACATCAGTAGGAGGACATATCCTTCCGGCCAGTTTTAACGTTCTTCACTAGGTGGACCAGAGGTAAACTAATATTGTACATCAATAGGTTGACCAAAGTTCACCTTATATTTTA